AGTGAAGCGGCGAAAGTGCAAAATGCCCCTCCCCGTCGCCGAACTGTGCCTGAACCACCTTCTAATTGTAGCAGTTCCATCATTTCCAGGTTAAAAGCGTTGAAAAGCGCTCTGACGGACTTCTGACAATCAAAACGAATACTGGAATTATTGATGAAGTAGAGACATTGATATGGGCTGTTGGAAGAACACCGTCTACAGAAAAGTTGAACCTCGATAAGGTACTAGCAGCTTTTACCCTTTCCGAGGAAGCCTAGCTCAAAATGTTTTAGGTTGGCGTGAAAACTGACGCAAAAGGTCATGTTATTGTCGATAAATTCCAAACTACCTCTAATCCTTCAATATTGTGCGTTGGTGATGCCGCCGGAAAATACCTCCTTACTCCAGGTGAGCAATTACTCTACGTTTTGAGGCATTTTTTTGCTTTGGCGGGTTTTTGGTTTGAATTCTGCGACATATTTCACGACAATCGAGAGGGGCGGAGACCTATAATCATCAAGGCATTTTTCTTTGGTGCGCCTCTCTCACAGTGCGGCATACGGGAATGGCGCACCAGTGAGGAACGCTTAACGAAGTGAGGAGAGCTTTTAGCTCCGCCCATCCATTTACCGTGAAAATGTCTTTGAGCTGACTGGAGGAACTTCTGGCTACCGTTTGTGCCGTTTATTTAACTCTATAGGTGTTATATTTTTAGTGGCCATAGCTGCTGGTCGCCGCCTTTCACATCGCCTTTTCAATAACGAGCTCTTCGAACTACCTCCGATATGAGAATATCGCTACCGTAGTCTTTAGTCATCCTTTAGTTGGCACTGTTGGTCTGACAGAAGGTTAGTTGGTTATTTTCAAAGTTTGTTTTCTAACTGATCCCCAATAAATGGTTTTTTTTGCAGCCGAAGCTATTGAAAAGTATGGCAAGGATCAGATAATGCTGTATAAATCCAAGTTTAATCCCAATGTATCACGCGGTAACGAAACATAAGGAGCCTTGTGTAATGAAAATTGTGTGTGCGGGTCCCGAAGAGAAGGTTTGTTCGCTTGCCTTCTATCGTTGAAAAAAATATAGCAAGTCTGGTTCAAAGCAAAATTGGCGAGTTCGGCGTGGTGGATGCATTCTGCTGGTTCCCATCGATCATTTTGTAAAGCTGTTCCGCAGAACGAACTCATTTACACTTGACAAGAGAGTATAAGGTCTTAACAAGTTCGGACATGTAAGATAAAAATCAGTAGGAGAAGCAAGCAAAGGTGCAAAGTAACCCCTCGAAGCCGAACAGCGCTGCGAGATTCGTAAATTGTGTGATGAAGCCTAGCAGAGAGTACTCACGTCTTTGATAATCCCCTTCTAGTGGCGAAGTTGAATCTTCTGAAGGATCCTTGCTTTTCATTAGGAGTTGCTTGAGGGATTTCAGTGGGGGACTGAGTTGTCAAATGAGAAATCCTTGTTGCGGGGACGTGGCGTTGCAAGTAGCGTGGCGTGCGCGCTATTCGCGCCAGGACCTAATTGATTTATTATGGAAATGCTGCAGTACGTCTAGTGAAGCATTTTGGAAATACTAGCTATTTTGTGCGCGTCACCGCAGCTTGATACCCCGTTAAGCTCTAGTGGACCGATTATGATTATGGGGGGGGGGGTCCAAAGCTCGAGGACAGGGTTGCTGTTCATCAAGAAAAGTTTGATACGTGTAGATAACCCGGTAGTGATGGAAGCCTTAACTTCTCTTTAGTGGGTCCATTGTATCCTCTAGAAAATTTCGTCGAGCCACCATTACTTCCTTTGTGTGTGTACAGCTGCTCACTGGTCTTTTGTTCTACCAAACGGCGACCGTGCGTAAGAATGCGCCTTCACGCAGTGCCCCTTATCCTGCGCATATGCTCCACCTCTTTTTTGCATAACAGAGGGATGGAGCAGTTGTGAGGGGGGGGGGCATTTTATACTTTAGCTTCTTATCATCGACCTGATTCATTGCTTAACAAGAGCTGGCAAGTGGTCTCTGCAAATTTTGACTGGCATCTCTCCGTGGCCTTCTGCAGAATTCACAAATCAACTATTGGTTGCTCGCTCACGACCATGGGAAGCACTTGAAAGGATACTGCCGCCATCCCTAGCGACTGCGCGAGACTGATGGTAACAGCTGGCTACTTTCATTTGCATGCTCTGGAAGGGTAAAATTAAGTTTCCCCCAGCCGTGAGGACAGTCTTGTTGCGAGACGTGTTCTGGTTGACTCCGGACTGAACAAATGGATACCAAGTACGCACAAAGTTCCCACAGCCCCCCCCCCCTTCTCTTTCCACAGTTTAGTCGCTTACATTTTACATTGTTCAGATTTGTGGCCCATTGGAGAGATTATTCGCTGTTTTAACGATGTGGCCAGCTAATACGCTCGATTTCAGGTTGTTGGTGTTCACATTCTCGGTGGTGGTGCAGATGAAATGCTGCAAGGGTTCGCCGTTGCGGTGAATATGGGTGCTACGAAGGCCCAGTTCGACGACTGTGTAGCCATTCATCCGACAAGTGCCGAAGAGCTGGTCACTATGCGAGGAGGCGAGCGACCAAAATAGATCCTCACGTTGTCTATATTGCGATTCCTCATAGATTCACAGGGCCAATTAAATTATTTTCTTATCAGTTCGTTCACATAGAATGTTAATATTTGTTCACTCCTCAAGATTTCTCACTTCATGATGAACAGTTGACATTGTGACACATACGGGCGAAATCGGAGGGCAACAAGAGGCGTGGCTGCGAGAGCGGCGAGGGTCCAGACAAAAAAGAGGCAGAGATGGAGAGCCAACGCGGGATACGCCGCTCCGCCCCTTTTCGCCCTCCCATATGGATGATAAAATACCAGCAAATATAGCCAAAAAGGAGAACATTCTGCTGAGAACTGAAAACGTAAGACAACTCAGTAACTTCTCAAATTGGTGGTGTATTGACGAGCAGCCGGTAATATTCGAGTACCAAGCCAACAGCTATGGAATATGCAATTTCGACACTGATGGACGTCGAATTTTTCAATCGTTGATTTCTTCTCAATCTGAAATTTCATTCATAATCACTGAATTTCTGTGAACCCTGGTAATGCTTGCAAGATCTGCTATCGTCTTGCTGCTGAGGTGTCTCAAGAAGCCGGATTTGGCGCGGCGCAGGCCAGTCCCCAATTGTGGTTACCTGCACCCCCCCTCCCCCAGTTGATGGAGATCGGCGAATGTTTTGAGCTTCCGCGATGTGGCGGATCTCACCCTCATATCCCGGGAATAGGGTGAGAGGCTGCGCGTTCATTTGAACACGGTGCAGGATCCGATCTCCGTGAGTTATCTCCACTTGAGACAACTGTCATCCTGCTTGTGGCATAACTGCTGCCATGTTGATTGAAGTACACAGCCACGCCCTCCCCTCTCCGGGATATGGAGTGCGACTCCAAACGCTACCCATTATTCGCTGAATTAGCGCCACACCCTTTCTTATCAAAATCGATAAAAACCTGCATAGTGGGGTTGTTTGATGCCCTGATCACTAATATGAAA